AATTTTATATGTATTTAAATTTGAATTTGAGACACAACTTCTATTATAAAATATTACTAAATATGATTCAAATAGAAAAACTAAATATTCTAAAAAATTGATAATACAAATTTCAAATCAATTTTATTTTGCTATTTGGTACAAATCATCATTACTCATATATATATTATAATGACAAACATGTCATAAAATATTTTTATAAATTTATTTTATTTGTTAAGTAGTCAGTGACTTATTATAAGAACTATAAAAGAATAAAAATTTAAACACAACATTTTAATTTTTTAAAGAAGGGTTTATTTGATTTTTTTTAAAAGTAAAGGACTTAATTAAATTTTTTCCAAAGTAAGTCCGCCCCCCGCCCCCCCCCCCCCCCCCCCCCCCCCCCCCCGGGGGCACCCCTCTGGCTCCGTCCCTGTATATAATGGTGAGACATGAAACTGTCAGTGAAATATTGATGGTATATTTAGTAACATCATCTTCATTGTATTGTAAAATCAACATGGATAATTTATGCAAAATTTAGATATGTATAAGCGTATATTAACTCTATAACGACAAAGGAACATAAATGAGTAAAATGGGCATTGCATTGATGCATTCAGTTCAGATAAACTGATACAACAGACCGTAAAGGGGAAAAAACAGTGAGGCATGGTTATTTGATTAAAGTGTAGGAAGCTATGAGTATGATAAGCCTAAGCTGGTAGATACATTTGGACACCCAAACAAGAAGTAAGGTGAGCCTCAGGCATATCTCCCCCTATTAAATTTTCTGATAAAATAAAGCTTACATTAACTTCACTGAGTCTCCAAGAGTAGGCTTGGCCTTTGTTTTGGAAATTACAGGGTTTTCACATTAACATTAACCTACTAAATCTTTGGATGCATTCTCCAAGACTAATTTTCTTTCATTCCTTCTCTTAACTCACCTCTCTTTTAACCCATATTGAATGTCAATCAAAGTTAAATTATCTATATTCTATACTGAACTAAATTTTTTTTTTTTTTTGTGATATTAGTTACATAATGAGAGACAATCATCTTCCATCTTTTATCACATCTCACCTGCATGTCATGTAACTTAAATTTAGAATCTTTTACTTTCAATGGAAGAAAATAACCACTAAATTATTTAAGTCGTTGACACTAAAGTTAAAAAACTCTTTTATTGACCAATTTTGTTTAACATAAAAACAAGACCTGAAACCTGAAGGTATAGAACATGTAGAAAGCAGACAAATGAATGTAGATAAAACGCTAGGCCATGCCCTAAACTTCCTAAGACCATCATTCTGACTTTCTGAGGAAGAAAGAAAGCTTTGGCAAAAAGAATGATAAAATAATAACAGAAACCCTATTTTTTCTGCTCTCTCTTTGTCTCTTTAACTCCTCAATAGAAAGTAAAGAGGTGAAATGGTCAGGGCTGTATAAACTCGTGAGGAAAACTTTGTTTCAATTAGAATAATAAACTTTTTTTTAGTATTTGAGAACAAATAATTTCAATAAGTTACACTTATTATCCTTTATTATAAAAATTTACTCAAAATAATTTACTTATACCTTCAAAACTAATCCAATTAGAAGCCCAAAAACTAGTGATACACA